TGTGAAAGCACAAAAAAATAGTTAATTTTGTAATGGTTGTTTTCTTCTCCCTCTTATTATTTTCCATTGATCCCATCTTTTTTTTTCTTCCATTTTTTTATTTGTTGTCATCATCTTTTGTTTTTGCCTCTTCTTTTTCAATTTTTGTTCTTTAATCATTTCCTGTGTCTTCATATCCTCCCAACTTACTATTTTTTGTTTTCATCTAAATTCCTTTACATTCTTTTTCCGGTTTTTCTTCTTCCTCATTCCCCATTTTCTCTATCTTTATCATCTTCGTCTTCTCTGACATCATCTTATTCTAGTTTGTATTTATCTTTTATTTGTCTTCTTTCCCTTCACATTTTTTTTTCTTTTTTGTTTTCTTTTTTCTCTTCGAGTTTTCTCCTTCTTCTCAAAGTTCCGCATCTTCTTATTTACCGTCTTCTTTTATTCTACTCGTGTTTTTATTCCTTTTTGTTTATGTCTTATATTTCACTTATCAATTCATTCGATCATTTAGATTTTCAAGGATTCGTGAAATAGTTTTTATCTTTCTATAGTCGAGATCTTTTAAAAATCTATTTAATTTGTGTTGTTACTTTTGATTATGGATTTGCTTTAATTGTTTTAGTTTTTTTTCTATTTGTGAGTGTATTTTAGAATGGTAGATATAAAGTTATAATCAGTGATTTTTAATTTTGATATAGTTATATTATTATTCAAATTTTTAAAAATACACCAGAAACTAAACCCTACACCCATCAATATAAACCCTAAATCCTAAACCCGAACCCCACATTATAAACCCCTCCTCCCTCTAATTAAAGAACCTACACCCTAAACCCAAATCCACATTATAAACCCCTCCTCCCTCTAATTAAAGAACCTACACCCTAAACCCAAATCCACATTATAACTCTCCCCTAAACTGCAAACTTGAACCTTACATTACAAATTAGTTCTAGATTTTCCTTTACTTTTATTTTATTTAATTATTTTTGTTTTTAATGGTTGTTTTCTCCTCCCTTTTTTCTTCTCTACTGATCCCTTCTTCTTTTTCATCCATTTTTTTATTCGTTGTCATCATATTTTTTTTCCTGCTTCTTTTTCTTCTTCCGATTTTTGTTCTTCAATTGTCTTCATATCATCCAACTCATTATTCTTCATTTTATTTCTAACTTTCTTTACATTCTATTTCCGTTTTTTCTTCTTCCTCATTCCCTCTCTCTCTTCATCTTTATTATCTTCGGCTTCTCTGACATCATGTTATTATAATTTTAATTTATCTCTTCTTCCTTTTTTTCCTTCACATTCCATTTTTTCTTATTTGATTTCTTTTTTCTCGTGTTCAAGTATTCTTCTTCCTCTCAAAGTTTCCTATCTTCTTTTCCATTATTTTCTTTTCTCTTACTCATATTTTTCGTTCTTGTTTACATTTTTATTAATTAACATTTTTCGTTCTTCTTCCTGATAATATATTTCAGTATTGATTCAATTTAGGATTCTTGACTATAAATAATCAAATACCTCAAACTCTTACCAGTGTGGATTCCATCAAGAGTCCTAAACCCTATATCTAAAGAGAAAACATACTTAACGTTATACTAAAAGAGTGAGACTCATTTATGAGCAATCACACAAACCATAAAATAATTCCCTTAAAGAACATATTGATATTAGTTATTTTGAAGACTAAAGTCTGAAGGGATTGCTATGAACCTATATATAGAAAACTACAAAATAAAAACAATCAAGAACAACAAATTAAGCCAAAATCAATAACCTTTTTCTTTCTTGTTACTTCTTAACCTCTGGTTCGAATACTCGGGCAGATTCTTCCATATATCTCCAACCGACCATCTTTTAATTACAACCAATTCCATTACCTGTAGCTAAAACTGGGATATTAGCTGGCACAAAATATTGCTTGGCATTAGTCGGAAGGCAATTCAAACTCGGAATAGACAGTGTGGTAGTCCATAGGATAAGTCTACTTTGTAGCACATTGGTGCGTTCCTACCGGGGCTAACCGGAAGCCAATAGGATCTATCAAAAAAAAATTATTGCTCTGCCATGTAATTTGACATAGTAATGAAATAAAACGAAATCTGATTTAGGTTATGAATTGCTTCAAATCCAAAAGTGTAGTAAAACATGAAATATCTTTTTACCCGAGAAGAAGCCAAAAAAAAAAAAAAAAAAAAAGACCAGCCATCGAATTAATAATTAAGTAATCAATTGTGAGAAAAGGTTTAAGATTATGACCTGTGAAACAATAATCCATTGAAGAAGAGATTTGAACTCCACCATAAGCAACACATCCCCAACTCACCGTAACAACACCAAATCCATGTTCTTTGATTCTTGCTGGCATGGAGGAAACCACATAAAGCTTTATTGATCTCCTGAAGAAGAAAGAAGTAAACAATTAAAAAAAATACTTGAGAAAAAAGTAAGTTCAGAAGCAGTTTTATGTGTAAAGATATGATTAAATTTTACAGTAGGAGGAATTCGGGTCTGTATTTGGAGATCCGTGGATGATGTAGAGCATAGATGGCGATCATCCTTGTTTTTCGCCTTCTCGAAAACTGAAACGAAGATGAATATCTACAGAATGTCAAAAACTATTTCTTTCATAAGTAAAAGTTAAAGTTAGTAAACTACTGTTAGGCATCATTCCTAAAGGAAACAATACAAACAAATTACAGGAACAGTGGAGTATAAGTCATTATCACCACCACAAAGAGAAAGATTTAAACATGGTCAGGATCAGAAGTAACATTTAAAACCAAAGCTGATTTTCATCCTCAAATTTGCAGATTGCTGCAATCGTGTCTTAAAAAAATCACTCTTCCTGCACTCCATGATACACAACTTCACCATGAATTCCTAAAACACATGATCGTGGATAGTATGAAGATGTTGAATATATAGGGCAAAGACGTGTACATTGGAGAACATTTATGAGCAGGTTGGTATAGACGTGTACATTGGAGAACTCCCGTACCTCTCAAGCATGTATACCCAATATTTTAAGAAAAATATTCCTGCGAGGTTGAAGAAAGAGATAAAGAGAGAATACTTGCGACTAATAAGGATTAACTAAAACCAAAACAGAGCAAAAAAATATTCAAATAACGTGAATTCTAGGATTCAAGACGAAGAGAAACTTGTCTAGATAACCAATTGATTAGACTAATTCTTACGAAAGTAAGTCTTCGCCAAGGGAAGAAGTGATCACAATTAATCCTAGTCTTGTTTGTATATTTGAGCAAGTCTCCAAACCAAAACTGTATTCGAGTAGGTTTCCCAAGCTCTGAGTCCTGCTTCAAAACATCAAACTCAAGCAATACATACATTCAAATTCGATTCATCTTGCTTTGAGTAAAGACGATAAAGCTTCACACCCAAGAGATTCATCTATACTCAGTTTCAGAGCTTGCTGAGTTCAAAACCCGCTAGGGTTCCGTTTATGACACATAAACCATATCATAAACCGAAGAGCACAAATAAGATAGTTGTTCTTGTTAGTCGCAATTTTGTATATATAGGTTTTTGTACAAATTTATAAGAGTTAGGGTTTCCTCAATATTTTCTCTACAATTATTAATTTATATAAATTAGTAGGCCGCATAAGTTTTTCTTCTTTTGATTAAAATTTATTAGGAAACAAAAAAAAGAAATTTTGAAGATTTAATGAAGATTTTCATTAAGGGTAGTTCTGTAATTCCGAGGCTGAGAGTTAACGTGGTGCTTCCATTCGAAATTCTGACTTCGCAAATAATAGTATGATATAATATTTATTTTTTGCCAAATAATAATAAATTTAGTAGTTAAATATACGATGCAGAAGTATAATTTTTTATTTATTTTGTTTGACAGCTTTTAGAAAAACAGTATTCTGATAGAAAATTAGTGGTCGATTTGGAGTAAGCTAGTACAAAATGTAATATATTTGTGATAATATAAAAATATATATTATGTATGTTATATTTGTGATGATATAAAAATTTATATTATAAAAAGAAAGCATTATAACAAAAAGTGATATTACAAAAATATTTATTACAAAAAGAGTGTTACAATAAAAAAAATGATACAAAAATACCAAAACAATAAATTAAATGAGTAACATGATATGCGTGTGTGTCGAACAAATTTTTTAGGTGGGACAATAATGGAAGTAGCAACAACGATAGTGATGGCAATGGTGCTTGCAACACTGAAAATAGTAGTGATGGTAATGCTAATGAGATGATAGCTAGCATTAAGTTAAATTGTTATTAAAAAAAATTGTATAAATTGTTAAGTTAACAATATTAGTTAAACAATATTTCATATTTTTTCATAGAACAATAAACAGGTTAACAAAATAATTCTTATATTTTCAGTTTTATATGATAACTTTATTAATCTCATAATTTATTTATGTTAACGCGATTAACTTGATAATGTCATATTTAAATAATACGATAACTAATTTAACATAATATTTTATAATATGTTAACTTGTTTAACACGATATTTTAAAACATCCTAAATATTTAATACACCAACACTTTAATTGATACCATAAATAATATACTTCTGATAAATGGTACTTTTGTAATTGTTTTTAGTGTTGAAGATAATTATGATACAAAAAGTTTTCTCGTTGTTAGTTTAAAAAAAAAACAATTCAAATTAGCACTATTATTTACCTAAATTTTTAGTCAATTACGTAGTTTGAATAAAATCTTTCTTATTTATTTGAACTTTTACATCAAGTTTGATTTACCAAATAAATTGAAAATGGATTTTAATTCAAAAGTACACAACTAAAGTTGATTAACCAAATAAACTGAAAATGGGATTTCTTGGAGGATATATTGCGAGTGACAAGAGTTCCAGAAACTTGGATTCGTTGGATCTTACAATGCGTGTCAGGGCTGGACATGAGTATCTTGTGGAATGGTGAGTGAATATCAGCTTTTTCCCCGAAAAGAGGTTTAAAAAAGGGAAATCCCTCGTCTCCATACATGTTGGTGTTGTGCATGGAGAGATTGTGCCATCTCATTGACATGGCCGTCGTAGAAAAGAAGTGGAAACCAATCCGGTTGTCAAGAAGAGGGCCTCACCTATCACACGTCTGTTTTGCGGACGACTTGATCCTCTTCGCCGAAGCCTCTATTGCACAAATACGAGTTATCAGACGTATCCTTGAACAGTTCGGTGTTGCTTCAGGCCAGGTAAGTCTGGAAAAATCTAAGATCTACTTCTCAGAGAATGTGAATAGAGAGATGGGAAAACTGATTAGTGATGAAAGTGGAACTGGAGCGATTAGAGATTTGGGGAAGTATCTCGGGATGCCGGTGCTTCAGAAAAGAATTAATAACAACACCTCTGGAAAAGTGTTAAAGAAGGTATCGTCGAGACTAGCTGGCTGGAAAGGTCAGATGCGGAGCTTAGCTGGTCGCATCACTCTTACAAAGGCGGTGTTATCATCTATTACAGTGCACACTATGAGCTCCATAATGCTCCCACAGTCTACCTTAGCTCGGCTAGATAAAACTTTGAGATCATTCCTGTGGGGAGACTCTATCGATCGAAGAAGACAGCACCTGGTGTCTTGGAACAGAGTATGTCATCCCAAGAGAGAAGGAGGGCTGGGAATTCAGAAATCCAAAGATATGAATAAGTTTTCTAAGTTAAGCTGGCGGCTCTTACACGATGATAAGTCGCTCTGGGTGCAAACTCTTTGGAGCAAGTATAAGGTGGGAGACATTCGGGATGCGGCGTGGCTGAAGAAGGTTGGCAACTGGTCCTCTACGTGGCGAAGCATATTGCAGGGCATGCATGAAGTAGTGATCTCTGGGTTCAGTTGTGTGATAGGAGATGGGAATAATATTAGATTTTGGAGAGATAGATGGCTGTCACAAACTCCGCTACTGGAGGAAGTGACAATGGATGTGCCTATGGAGATGAAAGCGAGTGAGATGTGGCAGAGAGGAGAGGGATTGATCTCGCACCAGATTGCTCAATATATTACAGAACAGACGCATCTTCAATTAGCAGTAGTCTTACTTGATGACATTACGGGCGCGAGAGATCGACTGTCATGGGGTCATAATCAAAACGGAGCGTTCTTGGGTACACCAGCCTACTTGGGATAGTACACCCAGGCCAAATATGTAGGTGTTATTTGATCGGGTTTGGCACATTCTGGCACCAAAGAGTATGTGCATACTTTTATGGTTGGTCGCGAATAAGGCCACATGGAGAGATATCAGAGGCATCTTAGTGACACTGAAGTATGTCAGGTGTGTAAAGGTGGAGTTGAATCCATTCTTCATGTGCTTCGGGACTGCCCGGCTATAGCTGACTTGTGGAGTTGTATTGTACCAATAAGGAAGCGGAGAGAGTTCTTTAGCACCTCGCTGTTGCCGTGGCTGTATGACAATCTAGGAAACGATGTGGATATGGGAGGATATGGTTGGTCGACAGTGTTTGCGATGGCTGCCTGGTGGGCCTGGAAGTGGAGGTGCTAGAATGTTTTTGGAAATGATGGAAAATGCAGGGACCGAGTGCGATTTATAAAGGAACTCGCCAAAGAAGTTTCGGTGGCAAACGCTAAGACGAGTAATGGACGAGCTGCAAGAACTCGAGTGGAAAGAAGGATTGCATGGCAGCTTCCTCCAAGCGGATGGGTTGAAATGAATACAGATGGTGCCTCACGAGGTAGGTATGGCCACAGCTGGTGGTGTTCTACGGGACGAGCATGGGACATGGTTGGGTGGCTGCGCTCTCAACATCAGCGTATGCTCTGCTCCGTTAGCAGAACTTTGGGGAGTATAATACATGGCATGGGAGAAAAGAGTCCCGCGCTTAGTAGTGGAGGTGGATTCGAAGATTGTGGTAGAGTTCTTCACGTCGGGGATCAGCGATGCGCACCCCCTTTCCTTCCTAGTATAATAATAATAATATAAAGTTATTGTTTGGTGTGTTCTTGATGTCATCTGGGGAAGCATTTGAAAGTCTGCCAGCTAACAGATTTATAAGAAGCAATGGTGTACCACTAGCGATATGCTGTTGCACGGTTAAAGGTCCTCCCCACTTCAGTCTAGATTCTAACAAACCAATACATCCATCCAGAAGTCCGTTCCATTTGGTAAGATTACACTTGGCAGGATGGGATATGGCTTCACCTTCATTACTTAGCATAGGTCTAAGATGATAACAGAGCTTAGTAGCTCGAAGAATCATAGGAACTGCTATCTCAGAGAAAGAAGATTCAGCAGAAGATCCTTTCTCAAGAGAGAGAATATATGTGAGAGCAAGCATAGCTGATGCTGAGTGACTCTGAAGGGAAGCTTCGATTTTATCATCTGAGGCAATATGATTGGCTATAGCAGAAAGACGATACAGCTGCTTCTTTAGAGAAGTTGTAAGCATTAATAGAGCATATTTTCTCCCACTTAACTTCAAACATTGAGCAACTGTTGCCAACAGAAGACATGAATGGAACACTAGATTGTTTAGTCTATCCTTTATGTTATTTGTTTCTCCCGTTTGTTGGTCCTTGATTGACGAGGTAGCGTAGGATAGTATTGGAAATATTTCTGAAATAATGGTATCATTCTCTCCGCCACTGACGACACTAGTAATAGGCAGTGAACTAGGAAGACCACAAAGCACGCTAGGCATAATTCCATTGTGAAGGCATGCTACGGCCATGTTCTTTGTGCACGGAGCTGTCGTGCAACTAGCGACTGCGACCAAAAAAATGAACACAAACAGAGAAGTAATCATTAGAAAAGAGTCCCCACTGTTCTTAGAAAGAGTCGCCGCTGTTCAAAAAAATGCCCGCAACTGTCGCTTGGAAATTTCAGTAACTCTTTTTCCTCTCATACGACTACTTTCTCTCACCTGCGACAGCTCCGTTGCCATCGTTTTACGTTGGCTGTCATCGTTTTGCTTTATTGCTTACTGTCGTCGTTGTTTTAATCAGTCGCGGCAATAGTCTCAGCGACTCCGAAAAGAACATGGCCTACTTCTCTATTTGTGTTCATTTTTTTAGTCGCAGTCGCTACGATTATAAAAAAAATATGGCCATATTTTAAAATATTAATGGTCAAATTAATCCAAAACTTGATGATATTAAACAAAACGTTGATGGAGAAAAGTTGACATTACATGTAAACAGAGATCCGAAGAAGAATTTAATGTCAAATCATCTGAGCTGCGAAATTCGTTTTAGGAGGTTATGAAACCAAATGATTAAGATTAAACATCATCATGTGATTTGAATTTGGAATTTTTTATTTGAAACTTAATATCGATATTTAGTCATTTGATTCGAATTTGATAGATATATATATCGACATATATTTCAGAATAAGTTCAAAATTATAAAAACACATCTAATAACAATCTGGATATCAACATAACAAAAAAATTAATACATATTGCAATCTATTTACTAACAAGATGAGACGAGAAAACTAAAAAAAGATAAGATGAGACGAAGGGAAAAAAAAAAAAAAAAAAACAAACTTTACAAAGTATAGATAGAATGTTGTCTAGGATGTATGTTATACGTTTAGTCGACATGATAATCGATTATGAGAAAGATATTAGGAATATTTTCATTAAGGGTATCACGAATCTTATTATATAAAGCTGGATGCGCGCACGTGGTTGCGACACGTAGGATTTTTATAAAATATAGGATCGCGACATGTGTCACTTTTAAGATTATATCCGTTAAGATCGTGACATGTGTATTATGGGAAAAAAGAATTTCTTTTTTAAAATACTAGAAAAAGGATAATTAAAAAAACGAAATTTAATCTATTATATTTTTAAAAAAGAAAAATTAATATTTGTCATATCCTAACAGAAAAAGGTTTTCCCATTCATCAAATTTATATTATCCAAACACATGTCTTATTATATAAAATAAGATTGAAAATAATGTAATAAATAAAATCCTATTAGTACATGGAATAGGAACGTAAACTAAATTTCCTATATTTGCATGGAATATGTTATAGAACACCTATAAATACAAAGTTACAGTAGTTTTTTTTTCTCATTCACAAACTCATCAAAGCAAATTCATCAAATTTTCTCATTCTCTTTCTCTAATTTAAAAATCATGTCTTTGTACTACTATAGGTAAATTGGATTGAAATCCAAATTATCGCCGTACTATAGTACATGTTATTCGAAAGTGGGAAGCTAGAAATCCTAAAGAAAATATATATATATATAACCATAACATTGATTAACATTAAAGTTTTATTTTGTTTCAAACAGGAAAACACAATTCAAGTTTTTGTGCATCATTCACTACTTCAAAATTCCGGAGATCAAATCGCCAAAGGAAATATCGTCGAAATTTGAGATTTTAGTGTGAAGTATGCTGTTAAAAAAAACTTATAAAGTTTCTTGCGAAAAAAAAGAAAAAAAAATAACTAAAAAAATTGTTAGAAAAAGGAAAACTAAAAAAAAAGAAATTTATCTATTATAATTAAAAAAAATCGTATTTTTCATATCCTAATATAAAATTTAGATTATCCAAACACATATTAAAATTTAAAATAATTTAATAAATAAAATCCTATTCAGAAAAACATTAAAAATAATTAAAAAATGTTACATCCAATAAGAAAATGAATAAAAACATATTCCCATTACGAAAAGGAAAAAAAGACAATATATATAAACTATATTTTTTTAAGTTTATTTTCTCATTAAGAAATAAAAAATCATGTCTTTAAAAGTTCAAGATATCAATGAAGAATACTTAATTTTAGATCGCTACATGTGTCTAAAACTTGATCAGGTGATGACATATAGCAACAAAAGAAAATTGGAAAAATAGAGTAACACAAATAAATAAATTAACAAAATAATTGTAAAACAACTAACGAATAATGATAATGAAAATGAAAATTTATAATGGTTAGAGGCAAAAAAAAATTGAAAAAGAAACAATATAAATAGAAAACTAACAAAATAATTATCAAGGAACTAAATAATAGTAAAAAATAAATTTTATAATAGACCGATCTTCTAATATTAAATAGTTTAATTTTCTATTTTTTTTAGGTAAAACAATATTAAAAATAAAGATTTCATCAATGGAATAATCAAAGTTTCATAAATTAATGAGTCGATTAGATTTAGACACATGTAAGTCTTTCTATTTCATATCATTAATTTAAAATAAAAATGTAAAAATATTACATATCTTAATTTATTTAGAGATTTGTTATGGGTTTTTAATATTATTTTACTTATTTTTGAAAGTGATCAAATTTTGTTTAATATTCTTCTATAATTTAAAAATAAAAAATAAATAAACCCGCGTACGCGGGGCCTAATCTAGTAGTTAATAAAAAAGAAATTTTAAAAATACTATTGAGATTTTCATTAGGTATCATGAATAATTCCACGGTTAGAGCAAACATGGTGCCTTGAAACAAAATTCTGACTTTTGCAAATAATGTAATGTATTGATTTGATTAACCAAATAAACAAAAAAATGGATTGCACTTTGTAATACCTCATTTTGTACTATTTTACATATGTAATCCCTTTTTTGGTTCACTATGTGCACTGCACTTTTGTAACACTTCATCTGCTATATATATTTCATCTACGGAAGTGCCTGTGGCATTGATTCAGGTAACATCGTGACATATATATAACCCTTTAAAACCCGTGACTCTTACACTACTATCCAACAAACTACATGTTCAAACTTTATTTATCAAAAACTTAGAGTCGATAATCTGCCACCTTCAACTTTGTTTAGAGGCTGAAGAAGGTGGTTTGACTTATAGCTTGACTGAGTAACTTCATCCTAGAAAACTTGCGAGTCAAATGAAACTCTGTACCGGAGCCGATAGCTCTAGTTCATATGCAGCTTGGTAAAACTCTGCAGCTTGCTGTGACAAGCCTTGCATTTTGGCAACGTGCCCTAGCTTCATCCATGCATCGTGATTTCTCGGGTCTAATTTTAAGGCATTCATCAGAAAACTTTTAGCGGCTGGAAGTGATGCACCTCCGGGTTTCATCATAGCCTCTGCTATAGAAACAATGCTGGGCACGTGATCTGGATCGATCGAGAGTGACAGGAAGAAGGATACTAAAGCTTCTTCATGAAGTGATTTAGCTTCTAAACACAAACCTGTCCCAACCATAGAAGTAAATGGAAGGCGTTTGTTATCAACACAAGGGAAATTACGAATGCAGAAAACTTTATGTAATGTCTTTTCTCCATACCTGTCTCATTCCAGCCTCTAGGAGAATAATAGCAGATGGATCTTGCCTTCTGCAAACAGGTTTCTGCATCTGACCATGAACCTAGCTTTCCGTAGACAGAGGCCAGGTCTTGCCAAGCTTCCGTTTCAAATTTCTGTAGCAGAACCTGGGAATATAGACTAATATTATTCAGAGAGATGATCACAAACTTGACAGAATTGTTTCTTTCATATTAAGACGCTCAAACTAGGTACCTCGGATTGTTCAGATTTCTCCTGCGCCCGGATTAGAGGCAGCAAACTGCTGCATGTCTTCAATGCCTTTTTAGGTTGTTCTTGAGCCATCTGAAGCACAGCTTTCAACTTTAAGAGCTCTAACTTTTCCATGTCACCAGCCTCTTCCATGGTAAAGTCCAGAATAGATTCAGCATCCTTGAGCCTTTTCTCCGCTGAAAGGACAGTAGCCAAATGTTTCCATCCTCTAGTTGAAACTCCTCCCACCATAGTAGAATACTCAACCGCTCCATCCAAAGCCGACTGAAGGTTTCTTTGAAATGCATTCTCCACGCTCAAGTTAAATATAACTTCTGGTTCTGGATCATTCTTGGCCCTCTTGGCTGCTTTATTTAGAGAGAATAAAGATTTCTTCTCAAGAGAAACCCGTTCAGAGTCTAATTTCGAACTTCTTGCAGCGTTTCCATAGCATACACCAAGGAACCCGTGTGCTTGGCTCAAAAGATGTTCACTTTGATCGTTTGCCAAGTCGAGCAGCCTATGAGCAAAATTTATGCCGTCCCTTGAGTGTTTTGGATCTTTAGAGCACAGCTTTGCGCCAAACAATAACCAAGGAGTGTGGGGTATCTTCCTTGATTCAGAAGGACCTAGGGCCATCTTTAATAGATTGATTGCCGCCTTATCAATCCCTGCAGCACTGTAACAAAGTGAGAGAAGGTACCATCTCTCCCCTCGGGTGTAAACACCTGGTAGAGTCTTCTCTAGATAGTTCGCCAACACTTCAAACTGTCCAGTCATCGAGAGGGCGTATGTGAGATGATCCATGAGTTCTGGATCCCACTTGATTTCCCCAACCACCATCTTCTTCACAAGTAACATCAATAACACAATTGCTTCCTCCATGTTCTCTTTTGGGCATGCCTCAACACTTGCGTAAAGTAAAACCAAGGCTAATGATTTCTGCGTAATAGCTAACCTTTGGGGATCCAGATTCCATGGTCTAGATAAAGCACGGCGATATGAAGCAATAGTTTCATGAAAATTCCCTGCTTTTGTCCATAGTAGAGGAAGCAATTCAAGGGCCTTGTGAAAAATCTCCTGCAGTTTACCGAATCCGCTGATTCCATCAGGCATGCCTCTTGGCATTGCAGATTCAACAATGTCCAGGATTACTTTGCATTCCTCTGCAGCATCTGGTAAAACCATAAACAGCAGAACACTGTGATCAGGAGATTCAATGCAAAAATCAGGAGAGCATGACATGCTATATTCATATAATACCTTTGTAAGAGCCGAGTTCCTCAAGTGATCTAGCTTTAAGAAATATTGCTTCAAGAAGTAAACTGATTGAATGCACAGACATTGAGCATGGAGGCACAATAACAGGTCTGGATCGTGATGGTTTTGATGGACGAGTTCTCTCTACAATGGCTTTGATCATCCTTGGAGTTAAGACCTTAATGTCAATCCCCTTGAACACCTGAAGCGCTGCATCGAAATTACCTCTCTGGTATTCAAGTCTCCCCAGCAAAGCTCTTGCTTCCTAACACACGAACAAACAAAAAAGGAAGAAAATCGATGATTTTCAGTTTTAATTTGATGCAGCAGTGGCGAAAAGCGTAAACACACCTCATAGTTGAGAGAGAGAGCCTCCTTTAGAGTCGATTCAGCTTCATCCACTTGAATCTCTTCGAGTTTAGAATCCCAATCGCCACCTCCAGTTCTGGAAGAAGAGAGCCCACTAGCTGAGAAATCTCTGGTAGCTAGTGATTCCGGCGACCCAGGCTGGTCCTCGAACCGGAATTGTTCGCCTGAACAAGCACACAACATCTCTTCCTCCTCCGAATGCAACGAATGGATTCGCAGATCTACGCAGAGATTTTCAGAAATCAACGCTTAAATCGTTTAGCTATTAGATTTAGCTGCCTTTAACCTCTGCAATAATGTAGCGTTGCTTTCACAAAGTGAGCTCCGAAAGAAAAAAACCGAGCTTAAGAAAAGGAAATGAAAGGAGCTTACAAAAAAATCGCAATCAGCGACATCGAGAAACGCGAACGGCAGCCATGAAAACAGCTTGGTCAAGCAAAAACAAAACCCAGGAATTTGTTTAATTGATTAATCAGAGAGAAGATCCGAAATCGATGAAGGGGACTTTGTCATTTTGCTCTGTGTTGTTCATGTCACTCTAGTGTGGTGTGTAAGCAGCAGCCAGCGGCTACCACGCTGTGATTTCTTTTTTGTTTCTTTTTTTTTAATGTTAAATTGAAATTTTGATTATGGTCCCACGTGTATATCTGTTTGCAACTACAGCACGCTTAAATCATTCCCAAAAATAAACTTATGGGTCTCAATGAGTTTTGCAGCAAAAATGAACGAAGAAGAAAGAGTTGCTCAAAACCTCTCCTTTGCTCGAGTTTCCAGTAACAAACTTGGATCCTATATGTTAATGGTGGGTTTGTAAACTTTCATTAGGGTCCAACACAAGCACTTTGGCTTAACTCAACTCCAAAAACCAAGAAAAAAAAACTAAAAAGGAATAAAGGAATGAGATTAAGTCACATCATCCTTAAATTATGGAAGATACCCTAAAATTTAGACTATAAATAGGGGATGTAATCTTAGTTGATGGGACAAGAAACTCTTGGACTAGAGTGCTAAATACTTGTTTACTATACTCTCTAGTTCGACAGGTCAGTTCGTAGTTCGCTATACAGTTCGGAGTTTGGAGTAGGGATAAGCAATCTTCCCAACCTCCTCTTCTTGTATTCGACTTTTTTTCCTATCTTAATACAAAATATTCTGACCTCGTCCTAATATAATCCGATCATTAAAACAGGTTACCTAGTTTACCACTTACATTTGGTGCCGACTGTGAGAATTTAGGAATTTCTTTCTACAACTCATGAAGTAAGAAAGAATGTCAGGACAACCACAAGAGAGAAAAGGACAATCAACTCATCCGCCGAACTCCCCTATGATAAGCGCCCGGCGCACCGCAAGCCAAGCCACCCTCAACAAGCGACGGAGAAAGAAGCGTGCCGAACTCTTCAGCGACCTCCGAAGTCTCAGCAATACTCCAGACGATGTTGAATCAAATCAACCATCTCGCTCAAGAAACGGCTGCACGCTTCGACGAACTAGCTCAGAACCTCACCGTTTCTTTTTTTAATGTTAATTTGAAATTCTGTTTTTGGTCCCACGTGTGTATATCTGTTTTCAACTACAACACGCTTAAATCATTCCCAAAATGCACACAAAGCAAACTGAGAATTAAAATGAGATTATTGAATCCAATCATGGATGAAAAACAAATCACATAAATTTAACGAAAAATGGGATCTTAAGAAAACTTGGATTTTCAGTAAGACCGTGAATGAGTTTTGCAGCAAAAATAAACGAAGAAGAAAGAGTTACTTAGAAGTTAGAACCTCTCGAGTTTCCAGTTACAAACTTTGATCCTATAAATAAAACCCACAATATAATACCTTAGTAATCGGGTTATTCAGATGGAACTGCAAATCGAATCCTGGCATGATGCAAATGCCATTTTTTTCTAGTCTTGAGCCAATTATGATAAAAGTTGAAACAACAAGAGGATCAAATCCCCAAATGAAAACGTCTGACCATACAAAGAAAAATAGCATCAAACAAATGATCCATCATATAATTTAAGCCCTCTTTTCCTTAAGATTTCTTGTTAAGCAGCTGACTCTACAAGAATGTATAGTGGCGTCTCTCCTAGTTTCTCCCTTCCCTTAAGCTCTGGTAACTCAATCACGCAAGCACACTCCACAATCTTCACTCCTACTCGCTCTGCAAAACACACAACCAATTGCGGGAGGGAAACAGAAAGAGTGTCAAGTTTAAAACTGAAACATTCTGTTAATTCGAGAATGCTCTGCATTATCAATGGTGCACTTACCGAGTAGTCGGATCGCAGCAGAGAGAGTCCCACCAGTGGCAATGAGGTCGTCTATGATAATAGCACGCTCACCAGGCTCTACGGCACCTACATGCATCTCAATCTTATCTGTTCCATACTCCAACGAATACTCCTCCGATATAACCTTCCCTGTTTCAAGAAACCCCAAAATCATTATGCATTTTAGAAACAACAACAATGCAATAACTATTTGACGCTTCTCAGTAAGAGTCCAAATGACTGATAAACAACTAACTTAATCCACTGATCTGTAACAACAAACAACAACCGCTTTTGGCTACCACGAGGAAATGTAAACTAGCATCAGAGATAATCGAAGACATATCAAGATACAAAGTCACCTTGCTCAAGCCCGAGACAATAAAAACTTTTTAAACTTAGAGCTTTGATATGGACCATATTAAGAAGAACTTTGATGTAACTCAATATCAAAATCGCTAGGCATACCAGGTAGCTTCTTGGGCTTCCTCATGGGAACAAATTTGGCACCAATAGCCAACGCAATAGGAGGGCCAAAAATGAAACCTCTGGCTTCAACACCTGCATTTACCAAGGCCACGAAATCAACTTTTCACTTCCAAGCGAGAGACTCATAAGTAAGTTTATATAGCTATGGAAGAAGTTACCTGCAACAACAGAGATGTCTTTCCCTTTGTATCTTTCAACAAACATATCAATGGTATCCTTAAAGGCCTCAGTGTCGAGAAGAAGGGTCGTTATGTCCTGAAACATGATCCCTGCCAATTATCCAATCGAGAGAAGCAAAAAAAACTTTAAGATCCAAACACAGATCAATAATAACCTAGTGGAAAGAGACGACGCCAACAGTGGGAGAAAGAAAAAAACGGAAAACACCAACAAACGGAGACCTGGTTTAGGGAAGTCGGGGATGACTCTAATGGAAGAGGCGATCTTAGGGATTCTCGGATCCTGCACATCTTTAGTCGCCATTTCACTGTCCCGACTCGCTGCTGCTGTGACACAAGAGAATCGGAGAAGAAACGAGTGGCGTCGTCAGATGCAAAACACAGACCTAAAGACTCATAAGACAGAATACACAGTGCTGAATAAATGACCAATTTATCCTAATGATTTTCACGCTTTGACGGAATTGCCCCGATCCAGCTAAATATCCTTTATTGGTAAAAAACTAAAATTAGGAAATAAAATAATAAAAAGTGGCGGGGTCTACCGCAGGAGGAGTGGCGGAGCGAGGTGGTAGAACGGTGGCTTGGAAGGCGGATCGAAGGAGCACCGTGGCAGAGAAGACGGTGGCGGTTTACAGGAGGAGGAGCAAGACAGAGCCGATGAGTAAGTAGTGGAGATATTATTATTGATTGCATTTCCTTTGGATTGAGATCTTCAAAAGGAATAATTGACAAACGCCGTGATCAACGCTTTTTCTAGTCTACGCAACCTAACTCAGGCAGCCACTGGGGACTAGTTTTTTATTCTTATAAATTCCATAAAAACCAATTTTTATTCTTTTCACATCAATGTAACACATGTCCTAAAGTAAAATAATGGTTCATTTCGAGTCATTCATTCATTGATGAATAATTGAATATACAAGTCACAAGTGTAAGTGTAAGTGTAAGTGTAAGTGTAAGTTGTTTTTTCTACACCAAGTTTGATCATTTCACGCACAAAAGAAAGTTGTATGCCCAAAACAACTCATAAACATGAATGGCCATACAACTAATCTCATCAAATTAAGCTTTTATTGGAATCGGACACAAGGAGCTGATAACTTGGTTTTTTCTACACCAAGTTTGATCATTTCACACATAACAAAAAGTTGTATGCCCAAAACAACTCATAAACATCAATTGTCATACAACTAATCTCATCAAATTAAGCTTTTATTGGAGTCGGACACAAGGAGCTGATAAGTGATAACTTCTTCCATTATTTTTTATTTTTATTTTAAGAATACATAAACCCCACATTTATATATACTTTAGTGATTGCTGTTCATCTTTATGTAAATGCAATTGATCTAATGATGAGTTGATGACACATGATCATTAGCTTTTGTATCATCATCACATTACAGTACTTGCTTACATGGTAACTGAGCATCTTCCTTTGAGTTAATTGCGAATACACTTTATGGAGGGTTTTGGTCAACACATTCGCTTCTTTATTGCAAAGCAGGGGACGAACGTGTTCCGTTTCTCTCCTCTTGTAGCTCCCATCAAATGCACTGTCTTCTCGCTTGTTCAGAGCCAAGCGTTGGAGGAAGCAACCAAAGCCATCGCCAAGGAACTCACTTCTCTTGGCATCTCGCACAAGGTCGACACCACCGGTAAGTCCATTGGTAAAAAGTATGCGAGAAGCGATGAGCTCGGAGTGCCATTTGCGATAATAGTGGACTCGGAGACATTGGTGACAATCAGAGAAAGAGACAGCAAAGACCAAGTCCGAATCGGCTTAACGGATGTAGCCTCTGTCGTCAGCTCTCTCGCTGAAGGAAAGATGCCGTGGAAAGAAGTCGCGGAACACGCCGGTTTCAGTCCAAAGAGGTTTTTAGTTAAGCTTTTGGTGGTTTTTCCGTTTTGCATTGTTTTTCTCTACTTTTTACTTGTAGTTGCTCTAGGTTTATGATTAAGCTGTCTCTTTATAAGAAGTTGGCAAATACAATTAGTTCCATAACCACATGAGAACTTGGAATCACATTTATTATGAGTAGATCAAAAAGCTAATAAAACTGAACAATGGAAACAGATTCAGTTTTTGCGATTGGTTTGGTTTAAGACAGTTTTACAATATTTAACAGCAAATGTCAAATTCTAAGGGAATTTTAGCAAAAACATGAGCAAGTTTAGTTTTCTTTAGATATATCCTTGTGCAGTCCACTTCTCATCCAAGAAATCACTCACCAGGAGCTGGACATCGCAGCTCAATAACTTGTTGTAGAGTCCAATCATCTCCAAGATAAGTTTATACACTTTAGGGTCATCTCTTTCATAGTTCCTCGAAACCCTTGAATCTCTATCATTTTCACTGGACAAGATGTCAGTGAACACCTTTGTCCTCCCAGGAAATGCAGGGGCACGCATCTCCGCATTTATCTGCCACATGATGCAAAAGTCCCTGAAACCATAAAAGGTTATTGTAAATAGGAACAAGCAACACATGTTTTGTCCAAATAGGTTCATGGTCCTTGTATAATTCTTTCTACCTTCAAGATTAGAGTGTCTAAATGAGGACAGTTCCTTAGAAGAACTGGCATTGCTTGCCATACTCGATCCGGGTCACTCGTAACAACTAAGAGTTTCAGGTTGTTGAACACCGGCGGCCAATGAGAAGAGAGAAAGAGAAAGAGATAGAGAGAAAGGCGTAGTTCGGTTATAGTGAGAATGTTGGTTTTATTTTATCCGGTTTAATTTGGTAATGTGACGAGTACAGTACCAGAGAGGTTTAATTTGGTTAGAGTGAGAATGTTGGTTTTATTTTATCTGGTTTAATTGACCGAGCAAACAAATGTTTAATTCGGTTAGAGTGAGAATGTTGGTTTTATTTTATCCGGTTTAATTCGGTTACCTCTCTGGTCGTCGAAATTCAGGGGAAAGTAAATCACAAGCAAACAAATTTCCAGAAGTTATCTGTAACTTGAAGCTATTTCATTTTCTCTTCTCTGTTTCGTTTTCAAAATTCGCTTCTTCCTTTGCTATTAAAAAAACCGTAAAACCTAATCCCGAAGTAAACTCGTCAACCACTGCCCATGACCTCTCAACGATACTCTTTCCTTAAATGCCTTGTCTTCCTTCTCCTCTCTGGAATCCAACCCTACAGACACCTCCTTCCGATATGATGAATCGCTCCTCCCTCTGCGCCCTTCTTCTCTTCCTCTTCTTCGCAGCTTCTTCCGCTGAACACAATGTCCGGACTGAGCGAATTTCAGGTACTTGTTGGAATCTAGATTTAATTGAGTTTCCGATTAAGCTTTTGAGGTTCCTGTTTTCTCAAGATGGCGGCAATTTGAACTCCGAGGTTTTCTTCAGTGTACTAGTTTTCATGTTCGAATTGGTTTATGTATGATTTACTCAAAAAGATTTTTTTGAAATGTGTGCAATGCAGGAAGTGCTGGAGATGTATTGGAGGATAATCCAGTGGGGAAGCTAAAGGTGTATGTATACGAGCTCCCAAGCAAGTACAACAAGAAGTTGCTTCAAAAGGACCCTCGATGTCTTACACACATGTTTGCTGCTGAGATCTTCATGCACAGGTTCCTCTTATCCAGCCCTGTTCGAACCAGAAATCCCGATGAAGCCGATTGGTTCTACACGCCGATTTACCCCACTTGCGACCTCACTCCTACCGGCTTGCCACTGCCTTTCAAATCCCCGCGTATGATGAGAAGCGCCATACAACTCATCTCCTCAAACTGGCCTTACTGGAACCGGACTGAAGGAGCTGATCACTTCTTTGTTGTGCCCCATGACTTTGGTGCTTGCTTCCATTATCAGGTAAAAGATACTTTTGAGTAGTTTTCTCATATACTTTGAATAGATATCCCCCCAAAATTTTAGATGTATACTTTGACGATTGCTGTTCATTAGGAACTCCCTGTAGTTGATGTACTAAGAATACATGATCATTAGCTGTTGTATCACCACATCAGTAAGTGGTTGATATCATCACATTAGTACTTGGTTACATGGAAAGTGAATTTGCTTACGAGTTTGTTGCATAAGATTGTGGATATAGTCCAATGGATTTGGGTTGAAAATTTGATTTTGACATAAAAAACAGGAGGAAAAAGCGATTGAAAGAGGGATTCTTCCGCTCCTCCAGCGTGCCACTCTGGTCCAGACGTTTGGTCAGAGGAACCATGTGTGTTTGGACCAAGGCTCCATCACCATTCCTCCTTTTGCACCTCCACAGAAGATGCAGGCTCATCTTATTCCTCCAGATGTCCCACGCTCTATCTTTGTCTACTTCCGCGGTTTGTTCTACGATGTTAACAACGACCCTGAAGGAGGCTATTATGCTAGGTAAATCAAGATCTATCTTTTAACATCACACTTCACCACTCCTTTGTTAGAATCTGCTGAATGGAATTTATCTCTTTGTACAGAGGTGCAAGAGCAGCGGTGTGGGAGAACTTCAAGAACAACCCTCTGTTCGACATCTCAACGGATCACCCGACAACATACTACGAAGACATGCAAAGATCAATCTTCTGTCTATGTCCCCTAGGGTGGGCACCGTGGAGCCCGAGGCTAGTTGAAGCGGTTGTGTTTGGTTGCATTCCGGTTATCATAGCGGACGACATAGTACTGCCTTTCGCAGACGCCATCCCTTGGGAAGAAATAGGAGTCTTTGTTGGCGAAAAAGACGTCCCTGAGCTAGACACGATCCTGACCTCAATACCAACGGAAGTGATCCTCAGGAAACAGAGACTTCTCGCGAACCCTTCCATGAAACAGGCCATGCTTTTCCCTCAGCCGGCGCAACCAGGGGATGCATTCCATCAGATACTTAACGGGTTGGCTCGGAAGTTACCCCATGACAGAAGCATATACTTGAAAGCAGGAGAGAAGGTACTGAACTGGACCGCTGGTCCGGTTGGTGACCTGAAACCTTGGTAAACTCAACAAGAGTTATGTCTTGTTGTACTTCTTGGGTTTCACCTTTAGAGTTATTTTTTTAGATGAGAGCATATAATGTTTCTGTTTTCAGCAATTGTTATAGAACTCTTATCCGGTGGATTATTTTTGTAGATAAGATTACTCCATATACAGGATGTACACTTCTCTTGGGTTAATCATACTACACTCTTATTGTATTCACGTTTTTCACATATAAAGTTTGAAAAACATTCATGTTTGTTTCAATGGCCAACAACCCGAAAAGTTAACCTTGATCACTTACACTTGAGATCCAGAGTAAAAAGCGATATAGTTTATTTGTTAAGCAGAATTGTTAAGCAGGTATATGAAATGGGCCTAGCCTGCAAAAATGGGCTGATCTAGGGAAAGCCCTAAACTAATCTAAAGAACCTTTGCTCCGTCTCTTCCGTCGCGAGAGAGAGAGAGAGAGGGGCGGCCATAGGAAGAGGAATGGGTGCATTTTGGGGAACTCGGGTGATGGAAATAGTGAAGAAGCACGATTCTGGTGGTCTTGTTTGGAAGCGAATCAAGCTCACTTCCACTCGTAAAGCCAATGCCAAAACCCGTCTCCGTCGCGTTTGGCAGGTACATTCATTCCTCTTTTCTCGTTTTCAATCTTTTAGGGTTTATGGGGTTTTTTGGGTTTGATAGACTTTATGTAATAGAAGCTCCAATTTTTAGGCTAAGGATGGGTTAGGACCGTGTTTATTGGTTTTTCTTGTTCAAAATGTTGATCGATTCATTGCAAATTATTGTGTTTCATTTGCAAAAATAGTTATAGGTAATGTTCAGTTTATGTAATGTGGTGTCTCGATTAGTTGCAGTGACATATGACAAGGCCAAGGCCAACTGTGTATTCTGTAATTTACTTATTTTTCTCAAGACTTTGTTCTTGGCAGGCCTTATCTCTCTGTTAAACTAGGGACAGAGTATATCAGCATTATTATTGAAGTTACATAATGAACCAAATTAGAACATTTAAGAGTGTGTATAACCTATCTATTACACAAACGCTTGGAATTAATTTTTCCCGATTTGGTGTTTTGACATCTTATGCAAAGCTTGTCCATCTCTCAATATGGTCGTGTTACTTCTTTTGAGCTGATATGGACATTTTGCCATTATCCAAAGAGTTTTAATAGTTTTCTCAAATCTTTTGCAGAATGAGGCTGTTCTAAAAGCGTGTGGTGTATCAGATGCACCAAACGCGCCGGGAGTTAGCAACACAGAAAGCTGTAGCAGTGCGGTGAAAGAATAAGTAAGGAGGAAGAGAAGCGAGAAAACATGTTGGTAGTTTATAAGGAATGGTAGATCAAGCCTCTTGTCTTTTTAGCTGATTTAACAGAAAATAAGATTTGTTGAACCTTGTGTTGTTGGGTTATTGGTTTCACATGTTAAATCTGCAAACGGGTTTTTATTAAACAAGAGGCATCCCCACACGAAAGCAAAACATGGATTTTTGAGTATTGATGCTTTTGTTTGTGTCATTGTTGGCAATTTGGCATCAAGAAATTGTTCGTCAGCGCTCCTCAAATACACTTTAGTCTTCGCAACACCAACTTGGTTAATCTTTAACCTTGATGTACCTTAATTATATCAGTCAACCCCTAACATAATTTCTTATTTCGTCGTTTTATCACTCTACAAACTCAGAAATGTATTTTCTATGTCCTAGCTTTATCAAAAAATGTTTTGATAGAGATAATGTCAGTTATTATAAAGTTTAGTTTAACTTGAGTTTATGCGCTAAAAAGGACTTATGGTTTACTGAAGTAAGAAGGAGATGGAGCAGCTAGTGAGCATGGGTTTCCCCAGCGATTTGGCCGCCGAAGCTTTGACAGCCACCGGCGGAGATTCAATCCAGAAGGCCACCGACTGGATTCTCTCTGACCGCTCTCCCCACCAAAGCCCCGCCGCCACGTCGCAGCCCAAACTCGACCGCTTCCTCCTCCGCCCCAATTCCAAAGCCCTAAACCCCGCCGCAAATGATGACAGTTCCAACAAGCGTCTCAAGCTGTCATCATCCAGCCCCCGCCAACACCAGCCGTTATCGGAGCGTATGCGTCCTCGCACTCTCAACGACGTGGTAGGTCAAGAGCATCTCCTCTCACCGGCTTCTCTCCTCCGCTCCGCCGTCGACTCCAATCGCCTCCCTTCCATTATCTTCTGGGGTCCACCTGGAACCGGAAAGACCTCAATTGCAAAGTCTCTCATCAATTCCTGCAAGGACCCGTCTCAGTATCGCTTCGTCTCCTTGTCTGCGGTTACAAGCGGCGTTAAAGATGTTAGAGACGCCGTCGAAAGCGCCAAGAAGCTTAACCTGGAAGGTCGAAAACAGACTGTCTTGTTTATGGATGAGGTTCATCGGTTTAACAAGTCACAGCAAGATTCCTTCTTGCCTGTCATTGAAGATGGTAGTATCCTCTTCATCGGAGCAACCACTGAGAACCCATCTTTTCATTTGATCACTCCTCTGCTCTCACGTTGTAGAGTTCTTACTCTTAATCCCTTGAAACCTCATCATGTCAAGACTCTTCTTAGACGAGCCGTAGATGATGGAGGACTCTCCAATACCGTTGAGGTTAACGATTCCACCATCGACTTCTTGGCTAACAGCTGCGATGGTGACGCACGCGTCGCCTTGAATGCCCTCGAAATCTCAGCCACCATGGCTACTGCTCGAGCCGGATCATCTGGTGGTGTTGTTGCTGTGTCTCTTGATGATGCTAAAGAGGCTCTTCAGAGCAAACACTTGGCTTATGACAAGGCAGGGGAGCAACATTACAACCTCATAAGCGCACTTCACAAGTCTATGAGAGGAGGAGACGCTAATGCTGCAATCTACTGGCTAGCTAGAATGCTCGAAGGTGGCGAGGAGCCGCTTTACATTGCGAGGAGGCTTATAAGGTTTGCAAGCGAAGACGTTGGGCTCGCTGACCCTTGTGCTCTTACCCAGGCGGTTGCTTGCTACCAAGCTTCTCATTTCTTGGGTATGCCTGAATGTAATGTAGTTCTTGCTCAATGCACCGCCTACTTGGCACTGGCTCCTAAATCTGTTGCTGTTTACCGAGCAATAGGAGCTGCGCAGAAGGCTGTCAAGGACTCGGTTGGACAGAATGAAGGAGTGCCTCTACATCTGAGAAACGCTCCGACAAAGTTAATGAAGGAGCTTGGTTATGGAAAAGAGTATATATATCCTCCCAATGATCCTTCTTCTGCGGCAGCTCAGTCGTATCTACCTCCGTCTCTTCTGCATTATAAGTTCTTGGAATGGCCGGAAGATGCTTCAGGTCATCTTCAAGATCAAGAACACAGGCTCTAACGGCTATTCCCTCTTTCTTTTTTTGCTTGATTTTGTGGTTTTCGTGTCCTTTCACTTGTTGCTCCAAACTCAAGTCAATTCGAAAATGGTGGAAGCAAGAGGGTAGAAAGAGAAACCCTTTCTTATTATTCAACATACATATCCAAATGAAGAAAATTTCCATCGTCTCACCCACAAAACCAACGCAAAAATCAATGAGAATATTCAAAACGTGTATCTATGAACAAAGAATAAGGTCACTCATTCACTAAAACGTGTATTTCGGTGAAAGGGAATTATATGGATGGTGTTGTGGAGTGTATATATGCTCGTGTCTACACTTGTGTAAGAAGTTCCCTTGTACAACATGTTTAGTTTATCTTACACTAATTAGACTGATATATATAATAATTAATATATATATATATTATTGTAAAACTAATAAATAACTAGTGATTCCAGAGTTCAGTGTGATCTGATTTCTGTTTTGGTTTGAATCGTAGACTATGCTGAGCAATTTTTATATCCAGGGGAGTTACATATGTGGTTGTGCTTGAAAAGGTCTACATCGCTCGAGATGACAAAGGCGGCCTCGCGGTCCAGCCCATTCGGGTTTGCGGTTTTTAGCGGACATATCCGCGGTGGGGCGGGTTGGTTTGCGGGTTATCCGCAAAAAGCTTTCTCTCCAAATTCATCCCGTTTCAGAACAGGAGCGACAAAATTCTCTTCCCAATGAACTGATTTGATCGAGATTGAGCTTTGCATGCAAGTGCATGTGGTTAGGGAAATCTAGACCTTAAATGCAAAGCTCGATCTGAGTCCAATAATCATGAGAAGTTCGAAGATCCCCTCTCCAGTCGACGAATCTAAAGAAGTTCTCGCCGATTTCAATTCCCATGGACTGTGATTTCAATCTGGACGCAGCATTTTCCTAGCGGTTAGTATCTCTTACAATCTTTGTTCATGTTGTTGGTCTCTCTGCTTCTGAAAGTTCAAGACTTTGTTTTGGTTGTTTGCAGAATTTGGAGTCTGCTGTATCATATACCGGTAAGAAAGAGAGAGACAAGTTACTATTCCTATTGTTGTTGTTTGATCAGAAAGAGTTTTGGATTCATGAGTTTCTAAGTTCTTGCAATGGCAAAAAAATCAAATAGGGATGCTTTCATAGTTTCAATCTAAGCTGCATGGAATCAGAAGCGGAAGCGTTTGGAAGCGCGAAAGCGATATTTTTAAAAAAATTAGGAAGCGGGTACGTGTTGGAAGCGTCTATATATATACACATATATGTGTATATAGCATAAATCAAATATATCAATTTTATATAATTCAATTAATAATAATTAAAAATAATTCAAATCAAAAACCAATTTTAGTTTCTTATTTCGTTATTCTCTAACTCCATGTAAAATAATCTTATATCTATGTTATTAAAGAAAGATCACTAAATTGAAATCGCATTTTTCTAATCAAAAGAATTATTCTCATTTTATTTGTAATAATTTTCTAAACAATAAACAATTTTTTTATAGATAATAGATTAAAATTAGTCTTTAATTTGTGAATGCCAAATTAAATACATGGTATATTAATTTTTCATTTTTATAAAACTTATAAAATCATAAACATATAAAAGTATTCATAATTATTTAAGATATCATATTTTTAAAACGGAATTGCAAGCTTCCAAAACGTTTTTAAAGAGTTTTTTAGGAAGCGTCATGGAAGCGAGCTTCCGAAAGCTTCCGATTCTGATTCTGATTCCGTGCTATGTAGGTTTCAGTAGCTATAGCTTTTGTGGTATGTCAATGATAAAATTAGACATGTTTGAGTCATATGTTTTGTTGTAAGTTTCTTGACCAGTTAGAATGATAAGTCAAACTTGACTGCATTGTTGATTTGGTTTGGTTTCAACATTATTTATTTCACGAATTCCTTGAATACTTTTAAGAATACTTCAGGTATGTTTCTTGATTTAGTGATCTGCACTTGTGGCTTCTTAACTATTGATGATTAAGTACTTTATGCATACTGCATATGTCTTTAGGTTTGTTTCGTCTATCAATTTGTTGACCTATGGAAGTATTGTTTCACTTTCAGATTGGACCTATGATGGTGAAGAGGGAATATCCAAGAGTCATGTTTGGTGCTCTATTTGGTTTGGTTTGAATAAGATTTCAAATTACTTTTGTTGCTTCTTGGATTAAGTTTAGCTTTTCTTTATTTTGCTATCGGATCTCTGTTTTTTCTTTCTCTGTTTTTACACAATGAAAATTTCAGGTTTTGATTACTATGCCATTACTTCACAAGGTAATAAGTTAAAAGTTTTTTCATGTTTGGTTCTGTTTTCACACACAACAAGAGAAGCAATTGCAGTCTATAAACGCTTAAAGAGAATAACAAGTTGCAGGTTTTGTTGACCCGCGGGCTGACCCGCATAACCGCCAATATCAAGTGGTGCGGGTCAGGGTCGAGCATATTGGCACTACAGCCCGCAACGGTTCAACCCGCTTGACCCGCCGGAGAAGTGAAACCGCGGCGGTTCGGCCCGTTTCCGCGCGTCCAGCCCATTTGACATCTCTAAGCAGGAAGATGACCCCTGCATCATGAAACTGAATTTTGTTTCTCAACATGTATATCCTCGGGAAAACGCCCAAAAAATCCTCAACTTTTTCAATTAGAACGTTTTATTCCTGAACTGTCAATTGCACGTTTAATTCCTCAACCTATTGCCGATTGTCTGAAATTGGGTTTCACCTAGTTACACTTTAAACCTCTTAGATGTCGGGATTATATTTTCCGACACAAAATCCCCAATTTAAGAACCTTAAAACAATTGTCGACAAACTGAAGCTAATTTCAGCGAAATTCTGCAAATTTCATGAGATTTAAGCGTATCTGAAGTCGGAAATCACAGAATCGGACCTGATTATGATGAAAACCATGTGGAGAAGAGATGGGAGGAGGAGGGATAAACTCCCAATTCGAAGAAGAGTTGTGTAATTGGGGATTTTGTGTCGGAAAATATAATCCCGACGTCTAAGAAGTTTAAAGCCTAACTAAGTGAAACCCAATTTCAGACAATTTATAATAGGTTGAGGAATTAAACGTGCAATTGACAGTTCAGGAATAAAATGTTCTAATTGAAAAAGTTGAGGATCTGTTTGCACGAATAGACTTTCTCTGTTTTTTGGCTAATGGAACTGAATCTATATATATAAAGTTAATGCAATTCTATTCAGGTGGTGCCACACCAGCAGAAAAGGCTGCTTCTAAATTCTCCAATTTGCCACGTCATCATTTTATTTAATTTATTATATTTTCTCTTATATTATATTATATTATATTATATTTAATTCTCTAATGGAACTGAATTTTTTATATAAATTTTGAGGCTTCACTCTCTTATAGGACTTTGTTTGTCTCCCTGACAACAAGACAAATGATTTCAAGAAATCAAACACAATGGAAAACACTGCACCAAATCAGATAGATGGCACAAAGCGGAGTAAGTAATCACTATTTAAAACTAGAAAAGTTTACTGTTATTTGTTTCTTCCATTATTAAACATAGATTTTTTAGAATATGTAATTATGTATCATCTAGATAGGTTTGTTTTCATTCTGGTTTGACTTCTGAAGCACTTTTCACAATAAGCTGATACAGATTCAAGCCATCTGCTAGTCTGTTTTGTAGTTAACATGGACATAATATTTTTTCTTCAGAGTTCTCTGTCTTTGATTTGGTTAGTGATTATCGATTCATCTCAACTCTCCAGCAGGTAGCGAGTGAGAATAAAAGGGGTCGAGTTGCTCTCAAAGGCTTTTGGATTTGAATAACAGAGCTTTTACCTCTCTGCCTTAAACCCAATGTAAGACCCCATCTTAATTTTCATTAGACTTCTTTAACTTTTTTGACGTAAACACTTGTGTCATCTCTTGTTTTATCCATAATTTTTTGCTCTATTTGATCTGATTTATTAAAGATCTAAGTGAAGAGTCCATTGCGGTGACTTTCAAATAAATGGCGAAGAAGAAGGAAATGTGATAAAGATGATGTAGCTGCACTTGAAAGAAAGATGCAAGCTGCGGGAATGCGGTCAAACATATGGAGACTCTTGTTAGTTGCTTCACTTGTGTTGTTAGTATTAAGCTGATGGAAGAGTTTGTTAAACTTTGTTAGTTGCTCCACTTGTGTTGTTAGTTTTAACTTCGTAGGAGACTCTTCTTGTATGGTGTGGTGTAGTGAGACTTGCGTGAACTTATGTATTTGCAGAATTATTTTTTCTCAATGAAATCGAATTTGAACTTCACTTATTGATCATAATGGTGTATGTAAAGTTGTGGGTTCGCCTTGTGGGGAACAAAATAGTGCTACAACATAATATTTTACAACACAAAAAGTGAGCTACAGATAACATTATTATAGCTACATAACAACGCTACTAACGCCACATTGAAGCTTTGAGGTTGCAAGCACGGGATTCTAGCAACGCATCTTACAGCCTTGAAAATCAATCATCCTCCTCCTCCATGAGTACCTGAGAGGTACAACTCCAACACATTGTAAATACTATGCATTTTTAGTCTTTTCTGCATTTTGTTTGATGGGTCTCTTCTTCAAGCTTTTATTTGCACAAGGGACTGTGCAGTTTAAGTTTGGGGGAGAGGTCCATAGTATTTAACCTGTGTTCTGTTTTCTTATTTTCGATTTTCATCCTTGAGTCTCATGCATCATGTGCATTGCATCTATGTCATAGAAAAACCAAAAAAATGAAAATTTTCAAAAATTGCATAACACAAAAAGAAAAGCATCATTTGCATTTGCACATTAGGATTGAGTCTAGATGCATCTCATGTAGTTACTTGCACTTGCATAAGAAAAAAATATTGATCATTTCCATTAAAAGGTGTGATTTTTCGAAAAGTTTTCAATGGCCTAGTTGTTAATTATTTGGTGCATATTGAGTGAGTTTGAAGTTAAGATAGAACCACATTTGGAATGCACATTTTGACATCATGAC